AAAAAAAAAAAAAAAGACCTTTATTGTGATATACTTCCACTTAATGAATATGTTAAATATATAAAACATGCATTAAATATATTTTCTCTTACGATCTTCTTAATAATATTTTCTTTTCTCTAGCTTACTTTAATGTAAGAATACAGTATATAAGTAGCATACAAAATATGAGTTAATCAACTGTGCATGTTCTCAGTAAGGCTATCAGTAAGGCTTGCAGTTAACAGTAGACTATTAGTAGTGTTAAGTTTTGGGGAAGTCAAAAGTTATATGCAGATTTTTTGCTGCACAAGGGGTCAGCAACCCAGCCCTCATGTTGTTTAAGGGTCAATTGTGTTGGTGTATGTATTTGTATATAATATATATTGTTTTCAGCATGTATTTATATATATACACACATATCTTTTGTATACAACATATATAAAAGTGCATATATAAATGTATATAACAAATATATAAATGCATCCTGAAAACATCACAAAAAGACCCAAATCACCATTCAAAAACATCATAAGGTATAGCTTGCTATGTTAACTGCCACTGACTACCCCCAAGTGTTTCATCTTCCTTCTTCTGACCTCAAATCCCACCTGTGCACCAACTTCTCTTTGTCACACATCTTTTCCCCTCTAATAATTTTGGATTTTATAGTTACAAAAGGAAACCATGACTATGTTTTTGTAAAATGTCAAAAACACAGAAGCCTAGAGTAAAAAGTGAAGAGCTGTCATGGCCCCAAGCTCCACCAATCCTACTTCAGTCTCAGAAATAACATTATTAACCATTTTACTCCTTCCAGACCTTCATCTATGGATTAACATATGTCAGATCAGAAGATATGTTTTGTTCTATTTTTTATATACACACAGAAGCATATTGGACATATTCCATAACTTACCTTTTTCTCACCGCAGTATGTATTAAGGGTGTATCTCATTCTTTTAAATTGTCTTATCACTTTCTATAACTGTATCATGCTTCACTTAGACCCATTGATAGAAATTTTTAGTTTTTCATTATAAGGTATACATAAATGAACATCTTTGTTCAAGTCATTTTTTATTGACTTTCTTTTACTAGTCCCTTTCTCTTACTAGTTCCAATCTTCGTGTGAGTCCACAGTTCATGATAACCTCTATGTTTCCAAGACAATAAAACTATAGAAGTAAGTCATGGTTTACTCTCAATTTTCTATAAATCATATATCTCTTGTGTGGGGGGAAGATGATTACAGATGTGAAACCACATGAAAAATATACAATCTCAAATGGTGAGCAATAGTGATCCCAGTGTTCTTTATAAACAGATTAAAGTCAACAGTTCAAAGACAATGATGTTATTTGTGAGAATATCACATACAGAAATGACCTAAATGCATTGAGCAAAAACAGACTTCCTTATAAAAAGCAATTTTCAGAGGCAGGTGTTTGTTCCACTTCCTTCTAGAAAGGTGTTGTTGCTTCATGTGAATAACAAGCAGGTGCTGGCTTTGCCAGGTTGTAAAATCAAAACATTTAGAGCTGGAATAGGTCCATATAGCTTCAAAACCATATCTAAGGTCACAGCTGGGCAGTGTCAGAGAGAGGACAAAAAGCCAGGCTGGACACTCACCAGGGATCACGAATTTCTCTGAGAGGTAGACTGACACAGAGGAGAGGGCAATGTTGGAAACCATCAAAGTCCAGGCCCTAAAGACAGAGGTCAATATTTCCATTTTTGTGATCTTTAAGGCAGCAGGTAATTCATGAGGTACCATCATACAATTGCTAGATGTATTACTTGTTGCCATACTGCTAGTAGTCTGTTAATTACTCAATTAAGAAATATATATTGAGCATCTACCTCACGTCTGGCATTGTTTTTGTTTTGGTGGCACTGGGGTAACACAAAACTGGTGACTAAAATAAGCTCCCTATACTCCAGTGGAAGGAAGACAGTGAACAGATGCACATTCAATGCATTTCAGGGGCTGATAGGTAGAAGGAAATACGGGTCTAAGCAATGCTTAGCATCTTCTCAACATACTTCCCTCTGTCATAAAGGAAGTCCTTTGAATCAGAGCTGCTTGGGTACAAAAGATAAAATCAATTTCCCAAAGCATTTTAAAGAAAGCGATATTGAGTCTCAAAGCTTACCATCATTCCTACTGAGATTTTCCAACTGGGATCAAAGGGCGAGCACAAGCTCAAGCACATATATGTTACTAGTTAACATATGTGCATCAGCAAAGGCCCTGGACAAAGGAGGGACTCCAGGGCTCCCCCAGCTAAGTCATTCTGCATGAGAGTCAGTGGCCCCATCAAGAATGACTGCAGCACTAAAGCCACCACAGGGACACAGTATTGACTGCAAAGATGCAACTTTTGCAAGGGGGACAGATGCCTCAGTTGAGCATGAGTCACCGTGACCTCTACACTGACCTCACAAAAGTCTTTCAGACCATAAGCAGCCAGCACTCTGAGAGCAGAGCAGCTTTAGCTCTTAATACCCACAACAGTCTTAAAGTTACTCCACGAATAAGTACAAGCATATCAGATTTAGGATTTAGATTTTCTCCGCCCCAACACTAACTACTCATAGAATACATAACTGGGGGCAACAGAGTAAAGATCCATCTTAAATGTTACCTTCTGAGGCCTCCCTGGTAACTCTATGAAAGACGGCAACTGCGTCTCCCCAGTAGTTCCTGTCCCCCTTCCCAGCAATATTCCTCTCCTTAGCACAAATCTCCATTTTATTTAATCTCTATGACTAGCACCTACTAAAATGTAAAAATTTTAAAGAATTTATTTTGGACATTGCTTTGTCCCCAGAACTCAGAACAGAGGCAATAATAGATGCTCACTAAATATATTCTTTGAGCTTATGAATGAAAGAATGAACAAACTAACAAACAATACTTAAGTATGACTATCTTGGTTATTTCTGTTGCCCACGAAAAGAAGTCAAGAATGGATGTCACCCTTTAGAAGAAATTAGAGACCATAACCTAAAATGTCCAACCATTTTCTTAAAATAAAGGATATTAGAGAATAGAAATCACAGACAGATTAGCATGAAAGGTAAAGTTCATTTTTGTCAGTTTTATGGTATCTCACTAAGCATGCCCAGTAATAAGTGCAAGTGAGTAGAGAACAAATAAACCTTTAACCACAGCATGTGAGCTGTTGGGTCAACATAGTTTCCCAGAATCTCTTCCCTTCTCAGGATCTACTTCCCTTCGTGCTTCGACTTGAAGCAAAGATTCACATCCCCAAAGAGGCTGGCAGACTCTATCTCATATCAAAGAGAAACCATTAAGATGCCCAATAATTTCACTCCACAGCTTCTACAACCATGTCCAGGAATTTCTATGAACGGTAATTTTCCTAAGGTCGCACCTTCATCAAAACATGTGCTAAACACTATGTCACAACAAAAGCAGCAGGAAGGAAACAGTGCCATACTGCACTGTTGGCCTCACATGGACTCCTCTGTGACTGATTTGGCCTTCAGCAATGACCATTAATCTCCAAGGCTGCTGTCAGAAGAACATGGAGGAAGGACAGAAAGCAACTAAGAGAAATAAGTGGGATAAGATCAGGGAAAACCAGATACTTCACCTGAGATAACTGCAGGGTTGCCCAAAACACCCAAATGACTAAGTCCCTATGGTTACTGAATACGTCACACTTCCCACTCTCGGTCTGTACAGTGATAACGTGCAACACTGCAGATGTTACGCCAATTTGAGAACTGAAATGGAGACCGTTAGGGACTTGCCCAAAGTCTCACCATTAGTAATTAGCAGAAGTAAGACAAAAACAAAAGTCTGACACCTGATCCAAAGTTTTTTCCACTGGTATTCATGTGTTCCATGTGGGCTGAAATCGGTAGGATATTTTCGATATCATTAGCAAAGTAATTTTAAGAATTTTCCTATCAGACCTTGCATAAAATGTAGGATTAAGAACCACATCGCTATATTTGAGCTCATGTCTCTGGAATCATTCTCAAAATTTTATGATTACTCTTTCTCATTAGTGTAAAAAAAAATGTTTTGGGCCGGGCGCGGTGGCTCACGCCTGTAATCCTAGCTCTCTGGGAGACCAAGGTGGGTGGATTGTTTGAGCTCAGGAGTTCGAAACCAGCCTGAGCAAGAGCAAGACCCCGTCTCTACTAAAATTAGAAAGAAATTAATTGGACAACTAAAAATATATAGAAAAAATTAGCCGGGCATGGTGGCGCATGCCTATAGTCCCAGCTACTCGGGAGGCTGAGGCAGGAGGATCGCTTGAGCCCAGGAGTTTGAGGTTGCTGTGAGCTAGGCTGACGCCACGGCACTCACTCTAGCCCGGGCAACACAGCGAGACTCTGTCTCAAAAAAAAAAAAAAAAAATGTTTGTACCATACAACTTCAGTATGAGAATATTTATCTATATACCTTACACATGGACGGCTATTCTAATACATTATGTAACTATAAAGTACACCTTAAAATAGCATTTTGTTCTTGCTTTCTAATTGAATCATCTTGTTCCCTAACAGTACGTACCCTCCACTTTGGGGACTACTGCTCAATTAACGTTTTACTTAAAAGCATTACACATAAAAAACAATAACAAAAACAGAATTACACTGAACATGAGTAGATAACTAAGATAACTAAGAGTTTGAATTTTTAATTTGAAAAATTAAAATTTTAATACAGAAATTTACCCAAAGTAAGGGTAGGTATCTGCACATGAAAGATGGCTAGATTTTCAAGTCTGGGCAAAATGAAATGAGAAGCCAGGTTGGAAAATAGTCTGGAAGTTCCTTAAATGGTTAAACATTCAGTTACCATTTGGTCTAATAATTCTACTTTTGGATATATAGCCAAGAGAAATGAAAACATATGTTCACACAAAAACTTGTACAGAGAAGTCTATGGCAGTACTTTTCACAATAACCAAAAAGTGGAAACAACCCAAATGTCTATCAACCGATGAATGGATAAACTAAATGTGTTGCATCCATACAATGGAATGTGACTCAGCCATAATTAGAAATGAAGTTGTGATTCACACTGCAACATGGATGAACACTGAACACATTATGCTAAGTGAAAGAAGCCAAACACAAAGGCATTTCACATTTATATACAGTCATATGAAATGTCCAGAACAGGCAAATTCATAGAGACGAAAAGTAGATTAGTCGTTGCTCGGGGTAGGAGATGGGAATAACGAACGGATACCAGCTTTCTTTTTGAGGTGATGAAAATGTCCTAAAAACAACTGTGGTCATGGTGGCACATATCTATGAATACACTAAAAATCACTGACTTGTACACTCTAAATGGTTGAATTGTTTGGCATGTAAATTCTATCTTGATCTCAATAACACTGTTTTTAAAAAATGAAATGGGGAAAAGGGCCTGTCTCCTTCAAAAGATCTAAGGAGACTAGAAGAAGCTGGCATTTCCCAGGCTACGAAATCAAAGGAACATGAGCCACGGGTCATGCTGTGAGCAAAGATACTGAAAGGATAGGAGAAAGCTAAAAGGAGAAATAGAGAGTAGATAAAGGAAATACTGAATAAGTATGCCTAAAATAGGTATGAAGAAGAGAGAGGAAGTAAAAGTGAAATTGTCGCAATAGAACTATCTAGAAAAAGAAAATCAAGAGCTGGTAAAGACAACATTAGCACTATGACCATCAGCAATTGGGCACCTACTGTCAGATTTTACACTGAGGATGGCCTGGACTTACAGACAGGAAACAAGGTCAGAAAGGGTAAATACTGTGGTTATATTTCAAGCGTTTATTTTGTAGAAATATATACAGAAGTACTTAGAAATAATTGATAGAATGCCTGGCATGTTCTAAATTTTCTACACGTGCACACACATCCATTTCCTTACTCCTTGATTAGGTCAGAATCTTTCAAGGTGTTTCAGATTATTACCAACCTAGCCCAACCTCCAACAAAAATGAACTCTTTCAGTTTTTAAAGAACAACATGCAAAGGACAGCTAGAGGAAAAGAGGCAGGGTGAAAATTATTAAGGGTATCTTGACTGAAAAACAGTTGATATGTGAACAAAACCCATAAGTCTAAGTACTATTGTTTGGAAAAACAGAAAGCAAGAAAACTACCATCTTTATTTCACAGTATAATAGAACATAGTTGAAGTTAATAACAAATTATTTCTCCTGTACTAAGGCAAACGCCAGCCTTCTTGAAACACTGTTTTCAAATGCCCAAAACCCAGGAAGCCCAAGCTAAACTAATCTAGCCCTAATTCTGCAAGCACAGGGGTGAAGGGAAGATCCAAACATCTCTCCAGGATATTAATATGCACCAAGCGTAGAGCAGATGGCCATCAACTTGGCAATGCCAACAACATGGACGTGTTTACCTTTCAGAGCCCAAATCTCCACAAAACCAAGAGCCTAAACTAAGAGTGAGCAACCAAAAAAAAAAAAAAGTCAAACCAAAAAAAACCCCAAAACCAAAAAAACCCAGATTTTTATATAGGTCACAGGACAAATCAAATGATATTGCAATTGAGCTGTATTTTTAAAAAACACCCTTAAAACATACACATATAGAGGTGCAAGTCTCCTCACTTACCAGATTTAAGGAGGCCATCCCAAAAAGTGTATTCTAAGAACCATGTCCAAATAAAGAGACAGAAAATAGCGAAGTACCCTACATATACTCTGGGGACTCAGCTGTTTTCTAATCCACTAC